TGTATTAACTCCAGTGAGTTTGATCTTATGAGAAACCTGAAAAAAATGTTGCAGAGGCTAGACAAACACTAGAGATCTTATGAGATTGGGCCATACTGTTACATGCATATTCACCTGGAAGGCCCATCAGAGATCATAAATTCCCAAGAGAAATGGCAGGTTTACCAGATGATAGGTATATTATATTTGAAACCTGTATTTCCTTGTGGATTTAGTTAGGGCCTCTAGATCTAGAACTGTCCACACTACCCAATCTTCTAGAGTACGGTGAAAAAGATGGAATACAGATCAGAGTACCTGACTATTTCTGGGAATGGTTCTGTTACTCTTTGTATGTCACAGTTTATTCACCATTAGCCTTTTTCCCCCACATATTTTTGAAAAAGCTGACTGGATGAACCTAGGACAGCTGCCATCATGGCTGACACCAGGGACTGAACTGGGGACTTCTAGATATGAAAGCAACTTGAGCTAAGGAAGCAGGCTCTTTATAGCTGTGGCCTGTAACAGACTCATCTCTGGATCAGGCACAGAGCAAGACATGTAAGCATACTGACCAGTGGGTTACAAATCTCTGGGAAGGAAGCGTCTCCAGGGTGATGATACATACTACTTGAATCATATACCTCCAATACCCAAATGGTCATGCTTCCTTAAACAGAGGCAGGCTTCCCTTATCCAGGCTCAGCTCATCAAGAAAATAATTTGCTAGTCATGTATTCATTCTATTTGTGAAGTTCTGGTCAGTAATTTCAATTTATCTATCTTGCTCTAGCACCTCTATGCCACAACTGAAGTCTGTACTGAAGGCACTTTTATTATTCAATTTTTCTTTTTATTAGAATGTTTTCGAAAGAGGTGGTTTCTCTCTAATCTTAGTGCTGTTTTCTCAAATGCTTTTCCTAAATCTCTGGGGGGAAAACACAACAATAAATGCTTATCTTAAATAACCACCTTTTGACAGACAAAGGTCTAACTGCAGTAGAGGCACTTGTTCTAGTCATGACTATAAATGAGCCTACTGAAGCAACAAAGAAATGCTGACACTATAGCAATTATGTTCATAAGAAACTTTTTCGAAGATTTGACCAGCACAAGATCTTTTATTATATCTGTGCTTGATCCAACTGCAGTGAAATAGCATCAGGTTTCCCCTCATTCATGATCCCTATGCTGTTTAGAATGTTAACGCACCATTTAAGTGTTCTCACTTCTGTAGACACTGCTGAAAAAATTCTGAGTAATTTTATTTATACCTACAATTGCCCTCAGAAGTCAGGAATCCACCTGCTGCTCTAGTCCAATCAGAATGGTTCACATCTTGTGAATGATACTGTTGCTTGCAAGGATCTCTCCTAACCACTCATATTTTTATGCTAATCACCTTTCTTTATGGAAAGGCCTCAAACACTCTGGATGGCTCCTTCCAATTGAATGAAATACATTCTACCTCAAATCTCTTCTGACTCAGAGCAAAACTTACACATTTCTCCTTATGTGTTATGTTAATAGGGAGGCAGACTGTTCACTACTTTTTTTAATTTAGCCTTTTTTAACATTTTCTTGCATTTTCAAAGGCCTATATGACAGGAGTTCCACACTGACATCTCAGAACAAAAGCAGATGACGACAAATAAATGTATACTGCCACACAAGCAGATCCAATAAATGTAAGTGCTACAAATTAAACAAATGATACATGTTGCATAAGAGAGCTGATTTCTGAGTCACCTTCCTCCTGATCACCCTTCATAAATCATTCCCATTCCATAAGGTGTTGACCATACATCATGGATTCTTTCCCCTTTTCATATCCCTTTATATTGCCTCTTATGAGCTATTAACATGCTTTTCCTCCCCTCTAAGCCCAAATATTGCAATTCAAGTCCAAAACGTGAACCAGTGGTAACTAGAGTGATTTAAGAAAATTAAAGCAAATAAAAGCTATCAGAATATTACCATATTGTATTGTCTATATCCTCTAGTGATGCCATTTAAATATACAGTAAGCAAAAGTTTCAAAATAGCAACTGCACTTAATGTCATTCATATACAAGGAATCGTGATGTTTCCATTCTCTAGGGTTTGATCCTGCACCATGAAGTCAATGGAAATTTGGGGCCTGGATCATGAATGAGATCTGGGTGTTATTGTAATATAAATAACATTTATTTCCATGGGATCAGGATTTGTCCCTATATGATTACGCTTAACAGGCACATTTTTTGCAGAGGTTACTTAATACCAATCCTGCAGTCCTTATTCGGTGAAAACTCCTTCAAGTGTGTTAAGATTTGGCTGAATTTCCTTTTTATCATGAAACAACAGCTAGTGAATAGTAAAACTTTGCAGTTACATTTCTAAAAAAAATTCACAAAGCACATCACTACATGAAAGATAATTTGCATGCAATAATTTCTATTGAAAAGAAGGAAAATGAAATAAAATAATCTTCTCCCATTATGTAGAAAAAGCCTGTCATTTTGAAATTCATTTTGGCTCCCAGAGTATAAATACACTCCAGTATTCTCGTGGGCAATGCCAGAAAATCAGCAAGCACTCATTGTCTTCTGCCAACAAAAGTATGACTCTCTGTGCAGGAATTTTCTTGCAAATTTGAAAACAAAGCCATTTAGAAAATCCACTCTTGTTGGTAGGATATGACACTGATATATATTCAACTGTGCTGTAAAATAAAACAGATGCTAAGATACTGATTTATTAGGAGCAGTGAATATTACACAGCAACTCCATTTAAACAATTTTTTTCAGGTGGGAGGCCTGTAACCTGAGCCCCGCCAGGGCTTTGGCTTCGGCCCTGGGTGGTGGAGCTTTAGCCCTAGGAAATCTAATGCCAGCCCTGGTGACCCCATTAAAATAGGAGTTGCAGCCCACTGTTTGAGAACTGCTGCTCTGAGGAATTAATCTTGGAGTACTGCCAAAAAACCTACAATTAGGTTGAAAGAATAGTGACACTAGCAAAGTCTGATATATCACAACCCACTAGGGTTAGAAAATAATGTAATGTACTTTTGCCAATGGATAGCTTTAATTTTCAGCTTCACACTGGACATAAAATACTCCTAGCCATCCTCGACAAATCACAAGACCAGAATTTAAAATCTCATCATTGCTTTTAAATCAGCGGTGTCTTCCCTAATCCTGAGGCTGTTGGGGTCTCACGCAGAGCAGTGCAAATAACAGATTTTTTTTTTCCAGTTGTCTGGCAATTCCAAAAAATTGGGGAAAAATATTAGTTTTGGGTCAACCCAAAATTGAAGTTTTACAGACTATTCAGTGAATTGGAAGGAAAAAAAAAAAAGTAAAAATTTAGTTTCAGGTTGGACAAAAAAACTAAAGAAAATTTAAATGAAACAAAGATATTTCAAAACAAAAAATCAAAATGTTTCATTTTGAAAATGTCAATGAAATGTTTTGACTTTTTCAGGTCTTCCTCACCCTGCCCCCAAACTGAACAATTCAGGGAAATAGTCACAAGTTTGCAAGCCATTTTGGTGTTCTAAATCTACGTTTTTTTCCAACAAAAAATGTTTTGGCCAAAAAAATTCACCCAGCACCTATCCCAAGCTAAAAGTTACAACACCACGAAGGCTTTTCTAGTTTGCACCAGTTAACTACAAAATGCCCCAGGGGGTCACATGGGCAGCTGCAGATTGCCAGGACACAAGAGAGCTCTGGCCACTCCCCTTTCTTCCCACCTACATTCCTCATGAAAGTGGCAATAAGATAGATACCCTAGGCAGGGAGAATCCTCCACAGGTTGGAGCTGATGGCTTTAAGGTTTCTTCTTGCTACCAAGAAACACAAAGCATCCCCAACGTACTGGAGAATTGAGACTAATCTTTCAGAAACTGCTGTAACTAGAGGTCATTTACATATTTTAAAAGCTGTGTTCTACAGCTTTCTGTAGCATTCTCAAGACAGTATTTACCAGTTTTCTATCACTAGATGTTCTTATCTTAGCACCAAATCAGGGAAAACCAAACGAATTACAGGATTTTAAGTACCTGTATTTTGTGACCTGCCAGGAATACAAATATTTTGGAAGAGAACAGTCAGTTCTTGTTTACTTGGGACCCAGATAGTTCATTAGGGGTTAAATATATGGCCTGATCTACACAGTTATTTCTGTGCTCTCACTGAATTTTAGGATCTCATTTAAGAATACAAAATACATCCTATGGTTAGGCACAACAGACTGAGCAGAGGATAGGATTGAGATGAAACCGTATTTTTGGCTTTCATAAATTTAGGACAGTCCTATTGATTTAACACAGTATATTGTATTCTGTTTTTTAAAGTAACTATTCTATTTTAATATATTTTCTTGGAGTTGAATCCTGAGGTCTTTACTAAGTTTTCCCCTGGTCAAATTTCCATTAAAGTCAAAAGGAGTTTACCTGAATAAAAACTGAGAAAAAAAACACCATACTAAAGACCTCAAGATATGGTTCATGGAAAAGTACCCAGCTGAGCCACACTTCTTGTATAATAATATCCAAAACACACAAAGGGATTATATTTCTCCAGATTACAGTTAAATCATTACACAAGTAGTTAGTGGAGTCCAAAAACTCCCAGTTCATGATCCTTCCATGCTGACTACTAACGAGACCATGCTTTGTCCACAAAAAATACCCTCCAGCTTCTGAGCAGAGTAATAATCTGATTGAGAATACATGCCAAAATGCCAGTATAAACACATTACAGGAGAATAAGTCTTGATTTAATGTTTTTTTTTTTCTTGTTTACATTCCCAATTTGGGAGAAAGGCCTGGGTTGAGATTTTCAAAGCTGACTAGGTAAGTTAGTCACATAACTCCCATTAATGTCAACAGAAGTTGTGTGGCTCCCTATTCAGCTTCAAAAATTTCATCATTCATTTTTAAAAATTAAGGTATCCCTTAGATAAAAGGGAAAAACTGGCCCATAAATTGCATCTAATTCACTTACAAAGTAATTAAAATATCCTGTCTTACCTCATTAAATCTTGTCACGAGATCTTCAATAACATTGTGCTCGTTGTTTTGGGAGGAAAGAATAGTCGCAGATACGGAAGCTTTAATGCATGGAAGTTTGCTCTGACATTCAGCATTACCCAAATCCCTGGTTAAGAAGCTGAGGTAGTCAATGGGCAAGATCCTTCTGTAGAGATCCTGTTCCTGTTCAGTCAGAATACTAGCAACCTCCTCTGGGAACTGAATGAGGTGCTGAAGTTCTACTAGCTCTTTACTGATACCAGCTACACTGGAGGGGAGTGCATTTGAACCAGCCATAGATGTGCACGGTTGACGTTCTAAAACAAAACAAATAAAAAATATTATGTAGCTTCTTTCCTTCATCTATTGCATTTGACTGTGCAAAAACATGTTAAGACTGAATTTTTTTGTTCTCGTACATTGTTTATTTACTTAAACAACACAGGATTTCACATTTTATATTTAAATAACCTAATAAATTGTTCTAGTGGTGGCTCATCTCATATCTACAAAACACTACCATCTAGAGTTAATTAGGCAGGTGTAGACCTGGGACTTTGGAGACCACTGAGACTATTGATTTAAGCAAAATTTGACTGCATTTATTGTTACTGTGTTCCACAACTCTTCCCCTCTGTCTGTTTCATTCACCAGTTAAATCTTATCATGATTATAAATAAGGTGTTCTGTAGAGCAGGGACTGCCTTTATTTTGCTCGTCTGTACAGCACCTAGCACGAAGAGGCTCTGGTCACTGATTGGGGCCTCTGGGCATCATTGCAATATGAATAATGTATAGCAATAAATCAATACCTATGTGATATTTTTTCTCCCTTTTTCCTATCACTACTAACACTGCTTTTCCCCGTCTGGTGACCATCACGCCGATCCCTGTTTTTCATTAGTTTTCCCCCCGTATTCATTTGGTTCCTGGGTCCAGTGGTCCCTCCCACTAGGCTGGGGGAGGGGCCTTTAGAAGTGGGTAGGCTAGCGCCCGCCCACCTCCAAGGTTTTGCAATAAGACTAACACTGCCTAGAAGTTATTCATTTGCGTTCATTTTACTTTTTCATATAAGAAAATGTCCAAAGATAAAATACAATTTTCTTTCCTCTGAAAAAAACATGCATATATTTGGAAGAGTATGTTTTGAATCTGTCACTACAAAGGAGAGTCACAATAGTTTTATAATTTACAAACAGTGTTGTTTCTTGACATATATTTTACTTTAACATCTTTTCATAGCAGCAAATTCTTTCCATTTATGTAAAATCAGTATTGCTTGTGCTGTCTAATCAATCAGGTTAATGAGTGATCCCAATTCATTCTCTTATTATGAATGCTATGCACTCATCTAAGCAAAGGTCCGACTATACTGAAAGGAGGACAGGAGACACTCAATATGGATTTAATTAGGCTGCAACTTTATTATTAGATGCCTAGGACAACGGCAGATAAAAGTGTATAGTGCAGGCAACTCCACAGTCATTCAATAATACCTGGGGGCTTCTGCTAGCCCCCTGTCATTTTCCATCCAGGTCCCGCAGCCAACCCCTGGCTTGGATCTTACCAAACCCCATCCCCGCCCCCGCCATAGGAGGGAGGCTGGGTGCTGCTTTGTGTGCTGAGTGGAAAAAGGGCTTCTAACATCCTGGCATGTCCGTTTTAACCCTTCCCACTTACGTTTCCAGGGAATGAGTCAGTATCGCCATGCTGATCCCCACCTCTCTTTTTGATGCAGCTTCCAACTTCCTCTTACCCCTGTCCCCCAACCCGTGAAGCACTGCTACCTTTCTTCCAGCAAGCCTTGACAACATACCCCGTTCACTCTTTACATCAGGATCATCTCATCTATCCATTGTGCTGAACAATTATGAAAGGTTCTGAGATTCAGTTAGAGTAAGCTTTCAAATGCTTGTCCAGACTAATTGCATTTGGCCTTTTTAGGATATAAATATGCTAACATTAAATTTATATATATATATATATGTTAATTTTACATCAGAGGGATGTTGCAAGGATTCATTAATGTTTATATAGTACTTTGAACATGTAAAGTGCAGTCATTTATTAATTATTATTATTACTGTGACCAATATACAGAGAAGAAAAAAGGAGTGAATTATCCTCCTTTTTCAAGTGGGCAGAGATCAGGGTGAGAAGAAAAGGGCTGGTTATGTTGGCAGAAAAAACTAATTTGAAGTAAAAAGAAAAGGAGTTGAGAATGGGTTGTGGGTACAGCTACAGGAAATGCAGATGTACCTCTCACATGGAGTTGTCAGCTCATGATACTGACTGATTGAAGACAGGTCTCAATATTTAACCCAAAATATTACTCTGAAGAGTGAAGGTACTAGTTGTATGTTTGTCTCAAGCAGCTAATAAAACATTCTGGATGCGTGGCCAGCACTGTTTGGGTGGACAGGGAGGTCTGAACCCGGACTCTTCAGTACTGAAAGTGGGAATCTCTATCACTTGAACTAAAGGGCTAACTTCACTAGCTGGAAATTGTTGCACTCATATACCATGTGGACTTGTTCTATTAATTTAGATGGACTATATATGCTAATGATAACATAACCCAGTCACTGTCCAACATTAAACAGTGTTAAACAAGATCCATGGCTTGGTATTCAGAGCTCTCAGCCTGCTTAGCACAATGGCAAACACACCATTAAAATCCTTTTCATCTTTTATTAAAGATACAGGAAAGAAGGAAAAACTGTTAAAGCATTTGAAATGTAAAGTATTAAAACAGGCTTTCATTTTATCAGCATCCCTTATTCCCTTTCTCTTTAGCTGGGGAGAGATTTTAAAAGGAAAAAATTCATTTGACAGTCTTTTAGATGGTATCAAAGATGGTAATAACTGTCCTTTTGGGAGGAAAGATTTGGGCTGGAAATGTAGAGATCAGCTGGAGATGTTGTTGCTGTTACAGTCCAGTCTTAGAAGGAAAAGCCCCCTTGTCTGACAGGTGCTTAGATCAGTGCCTCTCACAGGCGGAGATCTTCCAGAGAGTACATCCAATTCATCTGGATTTACAATAGGCTACATAAAAAGCACTAGCACTACAAACTGAAATTTCGTACAATTTGTTTATACTGTTCTATATACCATACACTGAAACGTAAGCACAATATTTTTATTCCAGTTGATTTGTTTATAATATATGTTAAAAACATGAAAGCAAGCAATTGTTCAGTAATAGTGTGCTGTGATACTTTTGTATTTTTATGTTTGATTTTTCTAAGCAAATAGTTTTTAAGTGAGGTGAGACTTAGGAGTACACAAGACAAATCAGACCCCTAAAAGGGGTACAGTAGTCTGGAAAGGTTGAGAGCCACAGTCTTAGATGGTATCAAAGATGGCAGTAACCGTCATCCCAGGTGGTGTTTAAGATTCAGCTGGAGCTGGGAGAGTAGTGATGTCATCTAGGCCCTCTCTCTTTGGCCAGTTCTGGTCAGGACACCTCTCAGGTTCAGGGTGATGAAGGCCCAGGGTCCCAGGACGTGGTAGCCATGATGGTGAAGCTCAGCTCAGTAGCCTCCATCTGTTGTTCCTTTCATTCTGTTTTTTTCCTCATTATTTTCCCACAAAATCTTTCTTTTAAGGACCCAAAAAGAAGTGATGGGTCAAATAGCCCATCTCCTCTTCATTTTGTCCACCAATTAGGCCTAATATCTGACATACTAATTTTGGCTCATTAACTTCTAGCTCCCAATCTGCTGTTTTTAACAAGCATTTCAACACAGTCCTTGAATCATATCAAAACTGGCTTTTTTGTTTAAACTAATTCATTTATTCTTTCTTTCATACCGGCTCTCATCAATATTTATTATTATAGGTTATTGTAACATCTGAACTTTTACATACTTTTTACAGTTGAGCTCACTATTCAAGTAAATTTGTAAGCCCAATTGTCACAAAGGACCAGCCACTAAACAGAGACAAAGATTGATATTCTCCTGTGTGACTTAGAGATGCACTGATGTAAAGTGTAGGAAGCAGAGTTTTGAGACAAAAGGTACACCTCCACTGTTAACAGAAAGTGGTGATGGTGGCTGCTCAGGACATCTGAATAAATTTATTATGTTTTTGTTAAGAACTGACAATGTGCTCTATACAAAATAAAAAAATGCAGACAGTCTTTACTTCAAAGAGTTTACAGTGTAATAAAATAACAGAAAATCTTATTATGGGTTTATATAGAGAGGGAAATCATATATCTATTTTCTTGTTTATACTGTCTGGCTAGATAATTTCAAACATATTGGCTTTTTCTGAAGAAAAAAAAAAACCAAACGTGTATAACCATAGCTGTCTTTTCCCATCTTGTGGTGAGTTGTGACTAGAAGGTGGTGTATTTTTTATTAGCAGTGGCTGATAATAATGACATATTTGTAGTAGAAATAAATGTCCATCCCCCTGTTTTCATCAACCTGTTGCATCCAGTCATAAATCTAAGCTCCAATCCTGCCAGCTCTCATGTGGGCAGACCCTTATAGACAAGCAATGAAGTCAATGCAGTTTATTACTAGCACAGAAATCTCCTGCATACAACAGCTTGCTGGACTGATTTTAAGCTCTTTAGAGCAGGGACTGTCTTTTTTTGTTAGTTGCTTGTATAATGCCTAGCACAGCATTTCTCAAACTGGGGTCTGCGGGCCCACTGATCAACTCCTCCCTCCCAGCGCCTCCTGCATGCCGGAGAACAGATGTTCAGCAGTGTGCAGGAGGCGCTGGGAGGGAGGGGGAGGAGCGGGGAAGGGGGTGCGGTTGGGGGAGGGGGAAGAATCATGTCCAGGGCCACCAGCCCTGCTGATCAACTCATCCCACTCCCTCCTAGTGCCTCCTGAATGCTGGAGAACAGCTGTTCAGTGGCACACAGGAGGCGCTGGGAAGGAGGGGGGGGGAGCAGGGACAGGATGTGCTTGAGGGAGGGAAGAGGAGGGGGAGAGGTGGGGTAGGGCCTTGGCAGAAGTGGCAGAGTGGAGGTGGGGCTTTGAGCTGAGCAGGGGACTTGGGGGGTGGGGTGGTCCAGGAAATTTTTTAAATCAAAATGGGGATCCTTGGGTTGCTAAAGTTTGAGAGCTGGTGGCCTAGCACAATGGGGCCTTGAGCTTTCCTTGTATACAAATAATAATGCTACCAACCTAGGGTTATGAAAGGAAGGAAAAATTCCTCCTTCTCTAGAATTTCCTGTTCTTCTCTTTGTATTGGCTCTGCTGTGTTGCCATTTAGCATAAGGAGTAGGAGTGTTGTCATTTTAAGAAGCTGAGTCAAATATTTGACTGGAATGATGATTGTGAAGATGTCTCAC